CATCTACCAGGCCATGGGAGTGCAAGAGCGTACGCATCTGTTCCTTGGTTGTGTGAGTTGGAGGCCCCTGGGGCATACTACATGTCCACTGAGGAGTCGTTGAACTTTAGAATCTCTCATAAAGATGAGGGTCCCCAAACTATGGCAGGAAATGACCTGCAAGAGATGCAAGAAAAATGTATGTTGGGAGCGTAATATGTGACCAAGGTGACTTCCTGGCCATTGAGGGAGTAGGTGTCTGCCTGTGAAAAACCAAAATTCAATATCTCAGAAAATTAGAATACTACATAAGAACAATAAAATAAAAATTAATTAATTTTTAATACAGAAATGTTGGCTTACTGAAAAAGTATATCCATGTACAGTATAGTATGCACTCAATACTTGGGGCTTCTTTTGTTTGAATTACTGCACAAATGCAGTGAGGCATGGAGGCGATCATCCTGTGGCACTGCTGAGGTGTTATGAAAGCCCAGTTTGCTTTGATAGCTGCCTTTAGCTCATCTGCATTGTTGGGTCTGATGTCTCTCACCTTTGTCTTGACAGTACCCCACAGATTCTTGATGGGGTTTAGGTCAAGCGTGTTTGGCCAATCAAGCACAGTGATACCAGGATCATTAAACCAGGTATTGGTACTTTGCCAGATGCCAAGTCCTGCTGGAAAATAAAATCATGCTTCCCTCTGCTGACCAGCTTTATGGAGATGCTGAAGTGCTGTAGAATTTCCTGGTAGATGGCTGCGCTGACTTTGGACTTGATAAAACACAGTGGACCAACACCAGCAGATGACATGGCTCCCCAAATCATCACTGACTGTGGAAACTTCATACTGGACCTCATGCAACTTGGATTCTGTGCCTCTCCACTCTTCCTCCAGACTCTGGGACCTTGATTTTCAAATGAAATGCAAAATTTGCTTTCATCCAAAAAGAGGACTTTGGACCACTGAGCAACAGTCCAGTCCTTTTTCTCCTTAGCTCATGTAAGATGCTTCTGATGTTGTCTCTGGTTCAGGAGTGGCTTGACACAAGGAATGCGACAGTTGTAGCCCATGTTCTGGATACGTCTTTGTTTGTGGTGGCTCTTGAAGCACTGATGCTGACACCAGTCATAGTCCACTCCTTGTGAATCTCCAAATTCTTGGCCTTTTCTTCACAATCCTCTCAAGACTGTGGTTATCCCTATTGCTTGTGCACCTTTTTCTACCACACTTTTTCCAACCATTCAACTTTCCATTAATATGCTTGGATACAGCACACCATGAACAGCCAGCTTCTTTAGCAATGACCTTTTGTGACTTACCCTCCTTGTGGAGGGTGTCAATGACTGTCTCTTATAGACAACTGTCTTCATCATGATTGTGTAACCTACTGAACCAGGCTGAGAGACCATTTAAAGGCTCAGGAAACCTTACAGGTGTTTTGCGTTAATTAGCTGATTTAGAATGCGACACCATGAGTTTACAATATTGTGACAAAGTTCAATATTGTAAACTTTCTGAGATACTGAATTTTGGGTTTTCACTAGCTGTGAGCCATAATCCTCAAAATTAAAAGAAAAAATGCTCGAAATATATCAATCTGTGTGTAATGAATCTATATGAGTTTCACTTTTTGAATTGAATTAATGCGCCTGCCACAGTAAATGTACTGTGGTGGAGTGGTAATTTAAAGTTTCATATTCCCTTAGTAATGACCAAACTAAATCTGACAATACATGGAAGAAGTGGATATACTATCTAGCAACAGATTAGCGAGACCTTGGAGCACGCTTTCTGATTTTCTCTTCCTCTGTTAATTCCTCAGACAACTTTGTCCTCATAATTTTGTCCTTCCTTTTTCCCTTCTATTTCACAAGTAGGGACTTGGCTAATCATTATTACATTGTTTTAATATGCATACACAGGCCTCCTACAAACTATTTGAGATCAGCTGCAGAATACTTCTGTTGATACATGACATACATTCTTATTGGTCATATCAGATCCCTGACAGTATTGTAATGTCATTGCATACCCTTTTTGAAGTGATCTGTATCCTATTCTCCTTTACTTTGTTCCCTTTGAAAAAAATTTGAATAAACAGATTTTAATATAAAATATTAGGCTTTAGATTTAATGATGGCATATAATAACTTAGAAATGCTGGTGCCCAAAGACATTATATTGGTTCACTGTAGGGCATAGCTTACACTTAGCCTGCTTTATTGAGTTTAGGGCTGAAACATATTTGCAGTACGTTGTGCTGTGGACCATGCACGTTACATGCAACACATATGGGTGTTTATTTACTAAAGCTGGCTAACTCCGAATCTCATGCACTTCTGCTTAGAAACCAGTCATCTTACAGGTTTTATTGCTAAAGCTTAATTGATCAAGCTGAGGTTAGAAGCTGATTGGCACAGGTGCACGAAATTCTGAATTAGGCAGCTTTAGCAAATAAACCCCACAATGTTATGTGCTCTTCATTTCTAATGGCGCTCCAACATACTATGGCAGTGGAGCCAGGGCTGTCTTTAATATTGATTAGACCCTGGGCAAACATTTTCCTGGACCCCCCATGCAATTTAGCTTTCCACCTGCTCTGAGACACACAATAGGGTAGAGCTAGGCAGCATAAGTGATAGCACTTCACACCTAGATATCGGGACACAGAGCGGGACAAAGACTTCAACACACAAGAGAAAGTATGGGGCAGTTATTTTGGGCCCCAAAGCAATGACTGGGTCCAGGACAGCTGCCCCTTTTTCCCCTCCTTAACGATGGCCCTCAATGGAGATCCAGTGCATATGTGTTGAACACCACAGTGTATGATAACGTTTGTTTTGTTTTTGGTCCATTTGTTGTTTGTTGGCAGCTGAGCTGCTTAAACGCAACACATGATGATGCATGACACAATCTGTGTGCATACCTGGAATGCATGCGAACGCAAAGTGATCCTAAATCTTAGCTGATAAAAAGGTGTCTAATACTTACCTTTTAGTAGGTGCGTGCTTCCTCCACCTGCTTTTACCTGAGCATAGCAGGCTCCAGCACTGTACATGATCAAATGGTTGTCTGTGCCTGAACTTAACCCTTTGATGGAGAGCATTTGACCTACTGCAGCTGCTTTATGCGAGTCCTGGCAGCCAAAGGGAGTGTGGAGTACCTGATCATATAATATGCAGCTTTTCTTATTGGTGTATGTTATTGGATAGTGGGGAGTAGATAGTAAAACAGAGTTACAAAAGGGTTCAGACCTGTTTTAAAATCTTCTCAACTTTAAATATATTGGCTGATAATGATGATTTTTAAAATTATAGCAGGGGGACCTTGCTTTAGACCAGGGGTGTCCAAACTTTTTTCAAAGAGGGCCAGATTGGATGAAGTGAACATGGTGGAGGGCCGAACATTTTTCCAAACATTCTTTGAACCATTACAATTAAATGCAAATAAATTATTTTATGCCAAGTTACCGTATTTTTCGCCGTATAAGACGCACCTGACCAAAAGACGCACCTAGGTTTTAGAGGCAGAAAACAGGAAAAAAAAAATTCTGAACTAATGGACTGCAGACACAGTACAGGAGATGACCAGAGACTGCGGACAGCACAGGGATGACCAGAGACTGCGGACAGCACAGGGATGACCAGAGACTGCGGACAGCACAGGGATGACCAGAGACTGCGGACAGTACAGATGACTGCTGACCTTTGGGGAGGTGGGAGCGGGTACCTGAATTTGACAGGTACCCGCTCTTACTTCCGCAGTTGTTCTTTGATCTTACCTGTTCCTCGATCCAGCCGCGCGCTGTCTTCCCGGCTTCTGTAATGGCGCTCGGCATGACAGCCGGGTGCCCAGTGCGCATGAGCGAGAAGCACTTGCGCTTTGTGATTGGTCCGGCGGCTTCTGGGATCTGTCATGTGTCCCAGGTACCGCCTTACCATTCACAAAAAGCACCGCTTCTTGCGCATGCGCACTTGGCACCCGGCTGTCATGCCCAGCGCCCACACTACAGAAGCCGGGAAGACAGCGCGCTGCTGGATAGAGGAACAGGTAAGGTCCCGCTGCAGAGCTGAGCGGCCGGCCCGGTATTCTGACACTGCCGCGGTGGAAATACCGGACCGGCCGCTCCATATTCGCTCCATAAGACACACTGACACACTGACATGGAGGGCCGTATTAAACCGACCCTCGGGCCGTAAATGGCCCGCGGGCCGGACTTTGGACATGCCTGCTTTAGAGTAAAAAAAAAAACAGGATTCCTGCTTGCAATAAACTGTAACTTAAAGTGCTACTAAAGCTAAAAATGTGTTTTTTTTACCTTAATGCATTCCTTGCATTAAGGTAAAACACATTTTCTATCTTTCTTTCCCTCCCCCTGCTTCCATGTATGAAGAAGAATAGAGGAGACGACTCCATCTATTCTCCCCTCTCTTCCCCCACACAGCACTTGAGCAGCAGCAGAAGTCATTGGCTTCTGCTGCTGTCAATCAAATGAAGTGAGGAGGAAGTGGGGGCAGGGCCAAGTCTCACTGTGTAAGTATATGGAGCGTGGCTACATAGACACACAGCTTGGGAGCACGCAAACATTGTGTGCCTCCATAGCAAACGACAGGGACACACAAAGAACAGGAGCCAAGATCACTAGTGGGGGACCCGAGAAGAGGAGGATCGGGGTTGATCTATGCAGTACCACGTTTGTTTGATATTATAATTAAATAAATGTTTTTAACTTTAGTAACACTTTTTAAAGCTGCATTGAATGGCAGTATCTTATGTTATTACTCCTATGCAGTGGTCTTTTTGAACAAAACGTTTGACCAATCTGCTCTTTTAAGGATGTGCCTAAATAACCCATATTGAGAAACAGCTGTCATTGAGAAAGGTGGTTTACCATAAGCCATATTTAATAAATGTAACTGATAGCAAGAAATGTAATTCAGTATTTTTTAACACTTTGACATTTATACTTTTAATTAGTGTGGTCCTTTGTAATTTTTTTTTTTTTCTTCATTTGCAGATTACATGAGGCTGCCAGTTTTTATCAACGTGCCTTGCTGGCCAATGCTCTCACCAGTGCTCTTCGGCTGCACCAGCGGTTACCTCACTTCCAGCTCAGTAGGGCGTTTCTGAGCCAGGCCTTGCTAGAAGACAGCTGTCATTACCTGTTGTATTCACTCATCTTTGTCAACTCATACCCTGTCACTAGTATCCTTTGTCAAGTTTTTGGACAGCACCTTAATTACCCACATCGGTTACTCCTGAGACAGGCTGAATTAATAAAGGAGTTGATCACCTTTATACAAACAAATTCTGTGAATATTCATTTGCTTCAAGTATCAAAGCATGTAAAAAAGCAGTTTTATGTTTGCCTATTTAATTTTCCCATAATTGGATAATTTAAAGTGTTACTAAACCCAGGACCCTGAAGCCACTATATCTGCTCTCCCACAGAACATGGAAATACAATTATATTAGTAAATATAAACTGCTAATTACCTTTTTTCATCAGCAGTTAGAGCAGTCTTGTGACTTCTATCAGTGTTCAGCCAAGCACTAGCAAAAGCTTGTAGTTTTCATTCTGTTGGAGGATGCAAAACACCTGACCTCTGTCTGACCAGTGCTCATTGGCCCTGTGCTGATCACATGCACTCTCCCAAGAAAAAAAAATAAAACCTCTCTAGCAATACACACCAAACTGAGCATGTGCAAAATGCCTATGGTTCAGTCTGTCTTATCAGGAGATCAGAGGGGGTCGCTTGAAGAAATGGAGGAGCAGAGCAAAAAGAAGTCTTTTTTCAGGCGGGGAGTCACGAGTTGGAAGCCCCTCCAGGGTAGCTAGGGGACTGTGCTGTACCTGGGAGACGGGGGGTCCCAGGATGCGGTAATTTCTACGTTTGTATGTATTTTTTCCCCTCAAGGTGGGGAGGAAGGGGTCCACTTCAGTCCTGGGGGGGGGGGGGGGGGGGTGTCCCCCTTACCTTCAGTACTCCAGCCTGTCCTCCACCTGGGGAGGATAGGGATGCCGGGCGTCTGCGGATCACTGGTCCAGAGGAGTCCATAGAAGTGCCGCAGCTCTGTGTAGACGCCATCTGGATGGCCGGGGATGTCACTTCCGGGACCTCCTCCTAGTGCGCAGCTTCCAGGCACGGCACCATGGTAGCGGACTGGAGAACGGGCTGATGCGGGGAGCTGCAACCTGCAGGGACTACGCAGACTCCGGGATGGACCACCACACTGGGGCATGTCTGGAGCGGAGGCACTGTGACCAGGTGATGCCGGCACCAGCCAGATACAGGTAGGCAGCTCAGAGGGGCCTCTTCTCATACCTTTTAGGCCCCTAGAATCATGGGGATGTCCTCAGTCCTCCTAGTGGTCGGAGTGACAGGGTGGGGGGTTGATAAGTAGATTCCCATGCCCTGCCAGGCGCTACACTGTTGGAAGGGGGCCTGAAAGGCTGTGGTGTAATGGGCAGCCTTTTCTGTATGTTCTGTTCTAGGTGAAAGCCAGAGAGAAGCCAGAGCTGCACCATGTGACTAAAAAGAAGTGCCCCTCCTGCAGTTTGACACTTAGAGACTCCTGGACTAAGGTGCTATACGGGTCTTGTACAGAGGGCATTATCAAGAAGGAAGCTGCTTCCCAGGGGGACGTGGTTAAGTTAATTAAGGAGTTGACGGCCACTTTTGATTCTTTTTAAGTCCCTGGTAGAGAATTTCTCTCTGCCCCAAGCACAGAGCTCCCTGCTTCCCCCCAACAGGCCGAGGCGTCGATCTTTCAGGTTTTCCCAGCGATCAGTAGGGAAGCAGTGGGTCGAGGGCTGAATTAGAGGAGGATCCATCCCTTGACTCAGATTCTCAGGCAGACTCAGATGGGGAGGGTCCCACTAGCGAGTCAAGAAGCGCCTCTTCCCAGTTCACGAGGTTCTAGTGGATCTATAAAGGAGTGGACCTAAAGAGAAAACAGTCCTTTGCTAAATCCCTTAAGCACAGGTTTCCTTTGATGAGGATTCATCCTCTGTGTGGAATAAAAGCCCTATGATGGGGCGTTCTCCCAAGTAACCAGAAAGACTGACCTCACTTTCGAGGATATGAGGACTGACATCATGGACAGGGGGGCGGATTCTCTTCTTAAGAAATCCTGGCACTCCACACTATCCAACCTAAAACCAGCCATGACCACTACAGTGGTAGCTCAGAACATGGAATACTGGCTCACACAGCTACAGGCCCATATTGTTGCAGGTTCTCCGAAAGAAAGAATTCTAGCCTCCTTTTCCACCTTACTGCAGGGGGTCGGTTATCAGAGTCAGTGAGGATGACGGCAAGGTCGGTGGCCTTGACTAGCTCATCCCACATAGCCCTATGGCTTAAGACTTGGTAGGGGGACGCTGCCTCCAAAGTTGTACTGTATGGCATCCTGTTCAGAGGGGATCTTCTTTTTGGACCCAGTCTTGAAACTGTTGAAACGCACCGCTGACAAGAAAAATTCCTTTCTGCCTAAGAAAAAAAACCCAGGCACAGTGGAGGAAGAGATTTCACCCCCAAAAGCGGATGCAAACCAATAGACCAGAGGAGCAGAAGAAATCCTGGGTCAGAAGGGGAGAGGCAGGGGAGGAGCGTTTTTTCAGAATGGGGGTCTTTCTCCCACAGTGGGAAGCAGTGTCCTCCAGTCCCTTTATCCTAGGTATAATGAGGAGCGGGTGCCACCTAGAGTTCCCGATACCTCCGCTGCAGAGGCTGTTAGTTACAGAACTACCAAAGTGTGTAGAGAAGGCATCGGCTTTGCTGTCTTCCTTGCAGGAGTTGGAGGAACACAGGGTTGTCAAGGTTCCTTCTGCAGAGGTTGGTGAAGGCTTTTACTTCCATGTCTTGTTGTCAGAAAGCCCTTGGGGAAGTACAGGCTCAGTCTGAACCTCAGACTTTTGAACGAGTCCATAAAATACAAGAGGTTCCGAATGGATTCCATATTTTTAATCCGGACTCTTCTTCCCCCAACTTGCTTTCTGGCTTCAGTAGAATTAAGGGGATGCCTACTTAAACATCCCAATTGCAGAGCCCTTTCAGAAACTCTTCAGGTTGGCAGTGCGGGGCCCCAGGGGAATACTCCACCTACAGTTCCGAGCCTTGCCCTTTGGGCTTTCCAACTCGCTTCTAAAGTTAGCCAAGTCAAATTTGGTCCCTGCTCAAAGGATGTGTACCTGGGTTACGAACTGTATTCCACCCTTCATAAAACCTTCCTACCCCAGGAGAAAGTTCTAAAGTTGGACAGGGGAATCAGGCGGATGCTAGCGAGTCAGGCTGTGACCCTCAGAGAAACCAGTGTTAAGTCTCCTGACCTCGTCCATCCCAGTGGTGCAGTGGGCATGGCTTCATTTGCAACCTCCCCAGCTATTCATTCTGGACATCTGGGATCGCCATCAGGAGTCTCTGGACTCCTTGGTACAGGTCACCCCCCCCCCCCCCCCCCCGGGTGAAGGGGTGAAGAGAACACTGGTGGTAGAGGAGGTCAACCAACTTGGCTCAAGGGCTGTTATGGGCTTTTCCCATCTCCAGTGAAGTTACAACAGATGCAAGTGCCTGAGGTTGGGGAGCTCACTTGCAGGGGTTCGTGGCACAGGGCTCTTGGCTACCAGAAGAATTGTTCAGATCCTTAAACTGGAAAAGCAGTGACGTGAGCCATTTTGGCCTTCCAGAAGCAGATGCGGAGGCAACACGTGGGGTGCTTTTGGACAACACCTCAGTCGTGGTGCATGTCAACAGACAGGGAGGAACACGAAGCAGAGCCCTGTGGGCCCTTGCCTCGGAACTGCTCAGCTGGGCCAAGGCAAGAGCCCACCTATCCGCCGTCCACCTAAAGGAGGATTTGAACCAGATGGCAGACTTTCTCACAGGAGGCAGCTGAGAGAATCAGAGTGGGTGCTCAGCTAGGAGATTTACCAGATAATCATAGAGAAATGGGGGACTCCATCCATAAACCATCCTAATGCCAAGGACCCGGTATTATTTTCCCTTAACCATTGGGATGGGGCATTGGCGGTGGATCATCTAACGCAGCAGTGGAGCTCCCCCCCATGTTACGCTTTCCCTACAGTGTCATTGCTGCCAGTGGTTCTGAGAGAGTTCAGGTCAGAACAAACTTCCCTGATCCTGATAGCCCTGAAATGGCCCAGGAGGGCCTGGTTTTCAACCATCACGGCCCTGGCAACTTATCCTCCTTGGATGTTGTGTACCAACAAGATCTTCTCTTGCAGGGTCCAGTCCTATGTCCCCAGGTGGGCAGGTGGAATCTAGCGGCCTGATTTCTGAAGAACAGCTGCTGAGGAGGAAAGGGTTTTCTGCCAGGGTAGTATCGACCATCTTAAATAGTAGAAAGGAAGAGACCCGTTCAATCTACCTTTTTAAGGTTTGGAAACTTTTCAGCAGGTGGTGTGTCCAGATTTTCTCCAAAGTGCATAGTTTAGTATCAGTCTTGGAATTCCTGCAGGCTGGGTCCGACAAAGGGTTAGCAGTGAGTATGCTAAAATGCCAGGTCTCGGCGCCTAGCGTATTTCTGGAGTTGGGACGAGCTTGTGATGAGGTTTTTAAAGTCCTTGACTAGACAAAAGCCAGTGAGGGAGCGGCCGTGTCCTAAATTAGACCTGATGACAGTGCTCAATGCATTGACTGGTTCCCAATTTGAGCCTTTGGATTCTGGTTCCTTGAGAATTTTGCCCCTCAAGACAGTATTTCTGGTAGCTATGACCACAGCAAGGAGAGTAAGTGAGTTGGAAGCCCTATCAGTCAGGGCCCCTTTCCTCCAGATTTTTGCAGATAGGGTAACGTTCAGAACTGACCGGCATTTTTACCCAAGGTAACCTCAAGTTTTCATCGGGGCCAAGAAATTACTTTACCAACGTTTTTTTCTAATCCTTTGTGTGACCAGGAAAGGGAATTTCATGTTTGTTGCTAAGAAGTGTATTCTTCATTATTTAGATAGGACTAAAGATATCAGGAAGTCCGATTCCCTTTTCGTATTATTTTCAGGGGCGAGAAAGGGTTGTAAGGCTTCTAGGCACACCTTGGCTAGGTGGCTGAGATTGGCAATAAGACCAGCATATCTGGCCAAAGGTCTAGAAGTCCCAGAAGGCATTGTGTCTCGCTCTACGCAGGCCATGGCAGCCACGTACGCTGAACTGACTGGTGCAACACCCGGGCAGATATGTAAAGCAGCTACCTGGTCCAATTACAACACCTTCGTTAAGCATTACAGACTTGATCTGGTCTCTGTAAAAGAGCAGGCCTTCGGTCGCAATGTCCTGTAAGCGGTGGTCCTGTCTTAGGGGTAAGAGCTGGCTTATCCTCCCAAGGGTGCTGTCCTGAAAGACATTAGGAGGAAAAGCAAAGTTACACTCAGCGGTAACCCCTTTTCCGAGAGTCTTTCAGGACAGCGCCAGTTACCCACCATTTTATCGGTCTTGCTGTTTTTATATGTTTGTTTTGTGTCTCCCCAGGTGACTGGAGGTGTTAAGGCATGAACTGAGATCCTAGTGAGGAGGCCGCTTTTTAATCTGGGTGGAGGTGGTGTTTCCTCAGGTGGGGAGGAGCTGAGCTCTTACCAGATTACCGTTAAGTGTAACTTTTGCTTCTCTCTTTTTTTTTTTTTTGCTGCTGCCTTTGTCATGTTGGGAAAATGTCTTTTTACTTTCTGTCCCATATATAGCACAGTAAGTCAGAGGAAGTCCCCTCCGTTTTTCCTAGAGTATTTTTAATACTGTTTTTCCCAAAGGCCTAGAGAAAGAGAGCACATATCATGTCTTTACAAATTGATATATTGAAAGACATGGTGGAACAAGATGAATATACTAAATTATGACAAACATAATTATTTGGTTTTTCATCACTATCAATCCTGGTTACAGTGGTTACCATGATAGAGAGGGTAAATCTCCCCAGTGCAGAGACGGGCAGTATTCAAAAGCTTCAAACTGCAGAAAAAAACAGCACTCCAAAAAAGGCCAGAGGAAAGTTTTACTGAAGTCCCATACCAGAAATTACATCAACATTTCAAGGGAGTGCCAACCCTCTTTACGAAGGTGACTGTCACATTGATAAAGGGGCTAATGCGCTGGTGACCCAGCCAGTAACACAATTCCTGTCTTAGGGTATCTGCATTCTGGATGAAATGGTAAAAGCAGACATCTTTTGGATAGCTTCATTGTCAGTCTGGGGAAAGGGTAGCGTTTGACTGACAGCAAGTTTGAAGTTCAGGAATTTTTTTTCTGATCTGTAGGCTTGTTCCAGATCAGTGAGTTAAAGTATTGAAGCCAGGACATAATCATACTAACCAGTAAAATAGCTTTTTAGAAAACGGTGTCCTCCATTATTCTCTCATATACAGGTTTGCCTCTGGGCTTGCTGCACTCATTTATTAATTTTTTATTTTTTTTTGTTTCCCCAATGAATAAAAAAAATACATTCAAACAATTCGATTGTATGGAAAAAGTAGCAGAACATGGGCAGAGGGACTGTCTTTTGTCTATGTTGGCTTGCAGCACTTATCAAGTAGAAATAGTTTTTCTTAATGACTTTCTTCAGTGAGCATCTTTCCCGTCCTGCTCTTTTCATTGCTTCATGCATCATCATGGACAAAAAAAATCTTGGATGTAAGTACTCTGTCTTAAGCATTAGGCAGCTTGCACTGCACAACAGTAATAACTGTAGAATTCACTGTATGCTCTTACTAACATGAACTTTTATGTCTGTGTCACTTTATTTCTTCAGTATTGATTATACATTTACCTCCATTCTTCAACAAAGGCAAATATGATATATACAGTGTCCCAAAAGTCTAGATTAATAGGAAAAATGTATTTTAAAGTTTTATTGCAGTAAATGCTCAAATTGACGGCTTTGACTTCACAGCACTTGTGTATACGTTGAATACAGAAATTTCATAATGTAGCAGAAATGATGTTACTTGCAGAGATAATTTCCTGCTTTGAGACCCTTGCACCTGGATGTATTTGCAGATGTATGGGCTTACACTATAAAATATGCCTGTATTTCAGCACCCAGGAGCCCCAGCTGATGAGTCATTTTGCCCATAGGAATGAATTACAAAATATGTTGTACCTGGATATATGCTTGCACACGTATTTTCCCAAATGCGAAATTCAGCATACACATTACACTTTAGGAGAGTGGAAAAATTGAATCGTGAAAATTGTTAGTGACACAAATTAGCACAATGGTGACTTTTTCACAGGTTTGTGCTTGCTAAGAATTGAATGACGGCATGTGAGCATTTGATGCTTGCACACTGAATGCAAATATCATCCAACATCATTGTTTGGACCCGGGGCTTAATATGGGGATATAATACATATAAGGAGGTTAGAGAATAAACATATCTTTTTTTTTTTTTTTTTTTTTTTTTTTTTTTTTTACACTTCTCAAGGGGGATGTGGATGTAGTCAGTGGAGACCTGATCTAGACCTACCCAGGCAGCTACAGTCTTTAAAGTTTCTATAGCAGTGATCTGTTGGTGCAGGAAGAGGAATAACAGAGCTAAAACTGCCTCAGCTGCCATACTGAATGAGAGTAGCCTGACGTCACTACACTCATTCCCGATATAAACAGAATATGGAAGCATTCTGTTAACTTTTTCTTTTACAGTGTACTCTTTTGGAGCACTCTGTAAAAACACTGGAGGCTAAGAATCTAATTGTTTTTGCACTTAGGCTTGGTGCTGGTTGTCGAAGACAGCTGGCTGTTCCAGCTTGGACCTGCGGACAAACCCTGACAACAAGGTTTTTTTATAGTGGCACTATGGGGCTTTTGCCAGATGGGGACTGAGTGTTTTTAATAAGGTGTTTACTTTTGGACCATGTCAGATGGCAAATATTTTCATTGTTTACACATTACCAGTGACAGCTTGATTATTACTACTGGAAGTCTGCTGTTTCCTGAAATGCTTATGAAACTCGTTTTCTAGTGATGGAACAACAAAGACTAGTTCAACGTGTTGCTTGATGACATGGACCAATCTGACATGGTCCTTAAACTGGAAAAGTACCTACCTTTGTGTTTGTATATATTTTTGGAATTGTTCAGTTAAAATGCAGGGGCCTGGGTTGAAGAAAATTGGATCAGAGCTTTTATTGATGCTAAATGTTTAATGATTAAACCTTTATATTTATTCCTTGTATTTTATTCACTTGGTTTAGGCCAAAGGTCCAAGCAGCTTGCCATTTGTCAGGTCTCTTCTGGACAGACTTAATGCAAATCAACAGAATATTCTGAAGTTCATCGCTTGTAATGAAATCTTTTTAATGCCTGCAACTGTTTTCATGCTGCTCAGGTAACTGTCTTAGCTCTTATTTAATAATTTCTGAGTTGTAAGTGGAAGTTAAGGCTCCAGAATAAAAGTCATAGTTTATGTACTACAGCAACATGTAAAAACCTTCAGTTTCAAAATTATATTGTGGAAGTACCAGAATATCATCTTCTAAAATAGGTCATATGATCCCCCGTCTTGCATGCTGTTATAAAATATACAGTCTAGGAAAGGCGTTGCTACAGAGGTTCAAGGCAGTAACATTTAAAGTGGTATTAAACCCAAAACCTAAAATGTAATTTATTGCAGCTTACTAATCATTAGATGTGGTGGCTGCATTTAGTTTTCTTTTCACCTGATGATCTGCACAGTTAGTGAGACACAGCTCTGGATGAATAAGAGGCACAGCAGATATCAGCATTGTCAGTCTGGGGGGAGAGGGGAGTGTTAAATAGATTAGATTTAAAAACAGTGACTAATTGAAGTGCTGAACTATCTTTTTAGAAAGCTCTGAATTAAATGTTTTATAGGGATTATATAAAAATAAAATTTCAGCTTTTATATTTCAATAGTTTTTATTGAATAAGAACTTTATATTTTTGTTGTCCTACATAAGCAACAATGTCAACATTTAAACAATAGTCATAACATAGTGATTAGTCTCAGTGCAATAAAGAGTGCATGGGATAAACATAATTGTTTAGAGGCAATGCCTTATCTCTGTAATAAAGCAGAGTACATCACTTTTATGCAGTCAGAAATATCAAAGGAGGCTAACGCAGTGGTGGGGTTGGGAGAAGGGAGGGGAACCAGGAAGGAAAGGGTAGGATAAGGAGGAAAAAAACCCACTGGTCATTATTTAAAGTTACAAACCGAAATCATAATCATCTAATGCAGGGGTCTCCAAGCTATGGCCCTCCAGCTATTGATGTACTACAAAGTCCCATCATGCCTCTGCCTCTGAGAGTCTGTATGTAATGTTTCTCTAAAATACTGTAGAGAACAGATGTGATCCCCATTAAGGTACTCTGCTATTCTCAACAACCCTTTAATAATCCACCATTGAAATTTTGCGGGTACCAAACCAGGTACAAAAAAGAGCAAAATGGATTAAGAACATGAGTAGAAAGAAAAGAGAAGAAGATGCCGAGGCCAAGAGTGCCTGGGATCAAAAACCTATTGTAATAAATATAATGTAAAATATAACAGGATAAAGTGAAATAATTCTCCACACACAAGGTCAAGGAAATGGAAGAGTCTCCACAGAGTCAAGTAGTGGGAGAGGCATAGACTCCCCCCCCCGGCACCTTGGGACACACATGAAGACATGTACACAGAAAGGCTCCTAAGGCCACAAGAACTCTAAACATTTAGCAAAAAAATAGTGATACATATTGTCCTAAAATCACACCCCAAGGACAAGTCCCGCTAGATGGTAAGACACCTCAAAAAACATTTCTACAAACATATGCAGTGACCAATGTTCCAAACTGGAACCCCTGAGAGGCCACTGCCAAAAAAAAAATCAGTCGACCAGCATTAGACAAGTCTTTCTCAGGTAACCATATGAAGCTGTAGATTTCTTCCTAGAAGCAGGAGACCATAAAGGCGAGTGTTGAGATGGCTGGCCAATATTTTTGGGTTGGCCCCTGGACAAGGGGCTAAGTGAAATAAAGCCCATTTGCAGCCAGGTGTTTTCCCCTTTGGTGAATGTAGAGAAGGAATAGGATTTGCCGTTTATAGGTGAATTGCAATTGGAAAGGATAGTTCCATCTATAGCGGATGTCCCTTTGAACCAGAGGAGAAAGCAAAGGTTTGAAGGCCCTTCTCTGTTGAATGGTGGCTTGGGAAATGTCCGCGAAAAATTGAAGTTTGTAGCCATCAATTTCTAGATCCGGATGTTCTCTAGCATAACGCATTACCGCCTCCTTAACGCGGAAGAAGTGTGGCTTCACAATCACATCTTGAGGGGGCCCATCCAGCTTCAGAGGAACCAAGATGGATGCAATCTATTTCCATATGGATTTTGTCGATATCTGGAACCGCGGATCGAATGAGCAATAAGTAATAGATTAGATATCTTTCACAGTTTCCTCTAATGCGGAAATTATACCAGCAAGTGAGATTCTCAAGGTTTTCAATTTTGTGTAAGCTTCTTCTAGTCGATCTTGTAATTCAGTTATGTTGTAATTTTGGGAGACCCTGTGGACAGTATCATCGACTTTAGATTCAATATTCTCTAGGCAGTTTACCCAATTCACGAAAATCCTGCTTAAATTCAGAGGCCAATTTAGTGGTAGCTTTATGTAGCTCTCTTTGTAGGAAGTCAGAAAATCAGGCAATAAGCACCAAGCCCCCTTAGTATGGTGGAGAGGCAGGGGATTCCATGGAACTATCCTTTACAAGGTCAGGGTTGCTGGACTGGCTTAGAAAGATGTCAGCCATTTCCCTGTCTAATAATGAGGAGGTCTGGGAATCATGGCTGGGAGACAAGGCCACGGCCTGTATGTGGGCTTTAACAGGAATGGAGAAGGCTTCAGAAGGCTCTGTGTGATCACTCCCGTGTTCCAGGGGACCAGAGGAGCCCATGCTGTGAGTCCGTGAACCAGAGGATGATGATTTGCTTCTCTGGTAACTGCTGTGAGGCCTGAGAGACCCTGGAGCTGGCACCGGTCACCATCTTGCCTTCCTTCTCCACCCCGTGAGTGGAGCTGTGGGAGTCTCCAGCCTGTTTCCCGGTCAACTGAGTGGGCATGGGACCATTCTCTACCCCCCTCTACTATAGATCCGATGAGGCTGCGGGGGAGATGTGGGGCTCGGGGCCGCTATTGTTAGCCCACTGTGCTGGGGTTGTGTGAAGCGGTCAGGAATGCACCCGCTCCGGCCGCCCGCGCATGCGCGCTCTACATTTTAGCTTTTAAACATACAAAGGTACAGCAACTGTTATATGCGTCTATACAAAGCTGGTGCTGGAACTAAGAATGTACCACCTACTGTCTGCAATTGGTAAATATGACGTTCTATACAGTGTGGGGTTTTTTTTTTTATTAGTAATTTTTTATTGTTTAATACAAGTTCAACATTACATGGTACAAATATCCACATTACACAGATCAGTAGCAACAGAACATTGTGTGACTGTGGAGGTGTTCTGAGTAATCAGTAAACATTGACAAACAGAGAGAAAAACAGCCTTTTCATGTTCACTACATGAATGCTTTTGTTATCTAACAGAACCCATATGATGGGAAAATTGATGTTAAGAATTATGTAGTCAATACCACTAGAGGACATGCAAGTTTGCTCACGAGTTGAAGCGTGATACCCAGTCCCCCCAAATGTTGTTAAATTTAGGACAACCATATGTTATTTTGCAGAAGGAGGATAGTATTGACCAGTCTTTTTCAGGCATTTCATTGTAATACTAGTCCTCTAGCATTAAATAAAAGTTGTCTCAGAAGGGTCTTTTAACCAAATACCTCTAAAAAAGTGTTATTTCTAGTGAATTTAAAGAAAATATATACAAAACAATTCTTCACCCCCTTTAATGATGTCTGTGTTTTGTTTTTTTTTTTTTCTTTTTCAGTGGTCAAGGGAGCTTATTACAGCCATTCATTTACTACAGATTCCTGACCCTGCGTTATTCTTCCAGAAGAAATCCATACTGCCGGTAATTAGATGTGTCTTCTTCATACAGCCACTGTTTCAAGGGGTTAGATTGGTTCAAGATAAAAAGCAAAAGAATTGGCTGCCTGGTAAGGTTCGGTTAGCCCTAATAGGAAGATCATAACAGTGTCATGGAAAAAGAAAAAATGAAACAAACCCACACCAGTTAATAGGCTACCCTGTATTGCATACTATCAGAGAACTAAAGAAAAATGAGGATTGCCACCTGAGAGACTTGACCTGGCCCCTCTTCTCATTCCTATTCGCACACACTTCATTGGTGGCTTTGAAATCTTACTCCTGAATGAGTATACCTTCAGTTGAGTCTGCAGTGTCAGTAAGTCTTGCTTGAAGTTTCCCTCAGAGATTCAGAGATCGTACTTTGACTGACTTGAGGGAGAAAGCAATATAAAATTAGAAACATTTGTGAAAAAGCAGATACAGTAAATATCTCCTAAACTTGCACCATTTAGGAGATATTTACTTTAGTAGCAGCCAGTGATGTCACCGGCACATGCACTCTCAATGGACGGCATGCCATCCATTGAGAGGGCTGTGCCATGCGTGTAACAGCAACTCAGCCATTAAAGCCGCTGGAGCCCATGAAGATGGAAGCCCTATCAGTGGTGATAACGTACCCCTGTTGGGCTTCATTTTAAGGTAAGTCTCTCATAATGTGGCTTTTTTTTTGTGGCTTACTACTGCTTTAACTTTAGTTATTGTTTAGTGGGATTAGGTTATGGTGGTGGTAGGTTTACAGCAATATACTTTTTCCCTCTTTTTGTCTTTATGGCTTAGTTCAACATTGTGTGTGGATTTTTTTTTTTTTTTCTTTTTTGGAGAGTGGCCTTCATTTTTTTTCCTAACTCCATTGTTGGAAGTCTTATTTTCTAGGTGTATTTTTGGAGAGTTTGACACTTCTGGGCATTGTAAAATACAGCCAGGAATCAGAACACCAGCTTTGTAAAACTAAAATGTGCTTCATCATATTGGGCCTTATGAGATAGACTGTCAGTTAAAGTGGAGTTCCACCTGAAAAAAAAAAAAAAAATTTTATAAAAGTTAGCAGCTACAAAAACTGTGTAGCTGCTGACTTTTAAAAAAAACAGCCACTTACCTGTCCCTCGGTCCAGCGGTGTTCTCACCACTGCTGGTTTCATTGGCCGTCTTCTCTTCCTGGCGCCGGCATCTTTAGCGGGGGCACCCAGCTGTGACAGCTTGCGGCTTCAGAGCCGGGTTGCCCACTGCGCATGTGCGAGAAGCACTGTGCTTTGTGAATGGCCCCGTAGTCTTCTGGGACCTGTCACATGTCCCAAAAGACTACGGAGAGGGAGGGAGGACAACTTCCACTTCCGTTCGCCTAGGTGATTGCAGTGAAAGTGGGAGCGGGTACCTGTCAAATTTGGCTACCCACTCCCCAAAGGTGCCAATCCTTAATGGGGAGCAGGAGACAAAGCATTAAAGTGGATTTCCCCTTTTGGGTGGAGCTCTGTTTTAATGTGGAAATATCTTGCTCTCATTTCCTCTTTAAAAAAAAAAAAAAAAAAAACACTCCGAGCAGTTAAAAGGCTGCATTTTTTTATATATGAATAAAAAAAAGTTATTCTTCATAAGTGGGTATCTAGTATTGTGAATGGGGAGTGTATTTATTAGAACATAAGGTGATTTTGCTGTGATTTTGCGTTTTCAAGAGAAATTAAATAGCAACAAATATCCCACACTGGGTCATAAACAATTGCATGGCCTAATATTCAAACAGTAGTAAAAAATGAACTGTTCTGCATTCTGGGGGTCTGAACTTGCGGTTTATACAAGTCCTATTGAGGCTGAATAACCCGGAGACGTGCATATCGGGAAGAAAAGAACATAGGTCATGTATGAGAGAGAGTTTACTAGACTCTTGTTCGGACAGATTTCAGTGAGTTACTCCTAAAAAAAATTATAGGCCTACAAAAAAAAAAAAAAAAATACATATTTCCATGCAAAAAAAATGTACCGCTTTGAGCACAGAAATATGGACATAATCAGACCGCTAGGGAGGTTAATCGTAATAGTGGTCAATATAGTCTTTCACCTCCACGAAAGCTACAAAAAATTTCTTCCTTGCTTTGGCTATACTCTGTTTCGCTACCAAGAATAAATAAGTTGACAATTCTTATAGTGTAGAACTTTTTTAAATGTGCTAAGGACAAAGTGTAAGGGCTCATGTACACGGGGGGTTTGAATGCTGGAAACTGACTGCTAGAAAACAAAGGTTAAAAATGTCATTGTACCTGCCACGTTTATAAGCTTTTTTAAAAGATAACCTCAGGAGACCCTCCCAAATGCCCATAATGCACTGAAAAATAGTAAATAACTATTTCAGACATTTTGTGAGAGAGAGAAAGAGCAGAAGCAGAGAGAGCACTACTTTCTGATGTACTTTGTGGGTGTTGCAACTGTAGCAAAAGTGGCTTGTGAAACATGCTTGGCACTGTGGGAGGAGCTACATAGTGCTGTAATTCCTGTAATGCCTCCAGATGCATTCTGGAGTGCACACAACACTCCTTGTGCTTTTTTGTTGTGTTCTGATATGTTTCAGTACAGTTCTATGCAGAAATAATGCAGCACGTTCTACCTTTTTTTTCCTGCATGCGAAACCTGGAACTGACTGCACTGGTGTACTAGTTCCATTTGAATACATGGAAAACTCTGTGCATGCATTTTTGATGAAGAAAAAAGGATCTGGACAGCATCTGGATATGGACCAGCCAAAAAAACGCATCTAAACGCAAATGCTCATAAACACGTTTACATGTGGTTACAAGCATTTGGCGTTTGAAACGCCGATTAACTCTACTCCTGAATGTGATTTTTGAGCTTTCAGAAAAAATGCCTGTAACCTCAACTGCCTATAAACTACTGTAAATTACTATATGTACATGGACACATAGGAAAACATAAAAGGAGAATTCATGGGCTGCTAAAAAAAACGCACAAGTGCTCCTAAACGTCTGTTTAGCAGCTGCAGTGTACATGAGCCCTAATAATGACACTGATTTTTAGGCCAAGTAATAGACAAAATGAGAACAAATACATACATCCCTGTAATTTATGCATAGTATTCTTGTAATTAGACCATATAAGAGAATTCATTTAGCATTGTATCTGGGCAGCAATAAAATGCTGTTTGCTAAATTTAGTAAGAGAAGTTGAAGTAGATACTTATCTCAATATTTTCATGAATAATAAACCTATTGTAGGAGGATATTTTTTTTAAACTGTTTGCCACCAAAAGAAAGACATATCTGTTCTCCTAAAAATGTATTTTTGTTTATGCACAGATAGGTTAAATAGTATTTATGGTTGAATATTCACACTGCAGAACTTTTAAGATTTGGTCTCATCATAAAGGAGTGAAATAGTCTAAAGCTGGCCATTCATGGTTCTGTTATCTTTCATTCAGCCAGAGGGCTGAATGAAAAAAACTGAACCAATTCCCCCATCCATGCATTTGAGGTAGATGGGGGAATCTCTCCCTGCTGAGCTATTGTATTCTGACAGTGGAGGAGTCTCAGCCGCCTTCAGAGTATACAGATCAGCGCTGCAGCCGCTGATCAAGCAGCATTTATTTGACAGGACAGTTGAACAGAAGTTGATTGGTAGATTGATTTCTGTTCAACTGCAGTTGCCACACATGGATGAAAATGTGGCCCTGCTAAACTGGCCTAATTTCAATCCATCTATAGCCACCTTTAGTCATCTTAGAGTTAAATCTGGGAAGTCCCTAAACATAGCTAAACCTGGATTCTGTATCCACACTCTGTGGATGTTGGAGATGAAAAGAACCATTGTACCCAAACAAAGTATAAACGTTAAGAAAATGACTGTAGTATAATAATGTTTATCTAAATGAAATAGCTGTAATATGACAACGCTTATATTAAAAATAATCATTATCAGGATTAAAAAAAAAACCCGTCAATGCCAATACAGGGTGCATGCACGTTATAATATTCTCCCCTAGGTAGTGATAGGACATGTAGAACTGCATCTGGGAATAATTGTATATGCACTTCTCAACTGGAAATTGGAAGAAGTGCAGCACCAGCTAGAAAAAGTGGGCTACTGTTGTATAAAGTTTATTAAAAATGGAAAAAGTAGGACAGATAAGTCAGTTTGTGTACACAGTAAATGAACTTTGAGAGATTATTTTTACTTGGAGGGTTTAATATTACTTTAAAAGGTTAGTCCATGCCAAGTTATATTTCAGACATAGAAGAAATCTGATTGGATGGGTCACTCTGTGGCTTTTTCTATGTCCTTGGGACACAAAATATGTTCCTGTGTTCCCACTCCTCCTGCTGCATCCTTTTATAATACCTTTAATGGCCCCGGGGCTCTGGGGATCCCATCATCAAATTTCCTAGGAGACTGAAAGAAAGTAATAGTTTAACTCTCAAGTATCTAACAGAAATTGAAATGTCCATTTTGGGAGACTGACCAATAGACTTATGTTAAAACAAATCCATTATCTTTACAGAAAAGTATTCTATCAAAACAGTCTGTTAACAAACAATTTCCACATTACAGGACTCTGTTCACGGAGCTGAGAATTATCTTGGAGCACCTAGTCATGAAGCCAGCATGTCCGGACTTTGTCAGAAGACTGTGTCTCAGCAGCATTGCTTTTATTAGCAGACTGGCACCAACTGTTGCATAACTTATTCTTAAATTATACAATGTGTATGTAAATGAGCATTAGCAGCTGGTATTTCTGCTCTGTATGATAATACAGGTGTTTTACTATTACTGCAACCTAACGGCATCCAGACTGGTCCATGCAAAATGATGCTCCTAATGCCTTTTTATAAACATCTTGTTACAGTATCCTAGCGTTCTCTCTGTGACAGTGTCCCCAGTCAGCGAATGTAGACTTCATTCCTTTTTAAAAATAATAAAACTTGTGGTACCAAACCTTGCTTGAGCACTATCAGGGATCTAATTTCCAGTGATCGCCTTATAGAGTTGCAGCCTCAGGTTTCCCTGCCCCGAGCTGCAGAAATGCACAGACAAGTTTATCCTAAACAGACTGTTTGTGAAAGAAAGCTAGAGAAGTCTAAATGTTTTAGTTCTAACTTCACAGGAATACACTAGATTGAACATTGTGTATATTAAACAGTTTTTACTTTTTCGTTCTACTTATATTCTTTGTATGGAGACTGCTATTGAAATGTAAACTGAGTAGAGAAAACAAAATATTTTAGAGCATTTTGGGGTATCTAGCTTTCTGAGATGTCAAATTCATTGTATTTTTTCAGTTTTATCAGAGTGTACAATGAAAAGGAAAAAAAAAAAAAAATGCAATAAAATTCATACATGCGCCATTCATAATAAATAAGTAATGTTCTTGTTTAATTATAATCGGTGATGGATCACTGCATGACTTTGGTTGTTTTTGTACTTGTTTATGCACAGGTTAGTTCTTGGTTTATAGCAACAGTCATCATACAGTGAAACTCCATATTATTCGTTCAAAATGAATAATAATAAAGAAGTCATTGATACTTCCTATGTTTATATATGTTTTTATTTGGTGATGCACCTTGTTTTAAAACTACCTCAGACTTGTGACATTCTTTGTGTATGTGATTCAGCCTTACCTAATAAAAACTGCAGTCTGTTCTGGTTTGTGAGTAGCTGTATCTTCTCTGAGGAGGTGTGCTTAAAGGTGACATCTTAAAATAGGCCTAATATATTTTGTCATGTTTTATGTTGCATGTATGCTAGGTAATGTGCAAATGCAACACTTTCAGGTATCACTTCTCACAAAGATCACAGTACACCTGGCGACAATGTCGAATCTCCTTTATACCCAGGAGGATGGAGTCATCTTTGTTTTTCATTATCAATAGTTCACATCAACTACTTGGACTAACATGCTGGTTTCAGCTCCTGCTGCTATTTTTCACTTTGTGACTTGTTACAAAGTTAAGCTGACCAGGAATGGATCAAAATGTGTTTGGTTCAGCAGAGACTGGCCAAGTTTCTCTGTGTGTGGCTGCTACTGCTCTGTTGAACAGGCTTATTAGAAAACTTCTCAATCAGCTTGCCGCAGCCACTGAATAGTGCACAGCGGGGGAATATTCCTCCATCCACCTTGCTTTTGTGGATGGAGAAATCCATTCATTATTTATTTGGTTTTTTTTTATTAGTCTCTTGGCTGTTCGGAACTAAAAAATGGCCACCTATGGCTAGCATTACAGTGTTGCAAGCTGAAGCTCATGACTGCATATAAAGGTGCAACATTTTTTAAAAGCATTCTGCTGTATATCCTGCTATTTCACATATTTATTCACATAGACTGTGCCATAGAATGCAATGAAAAGGCAATCTACTGGAAGGTTTGTAGACAACATTATCCTTACTCTCTATGGCAGAGGAAGCTGTGCAGGCATTGTAACAAGCCTGTATGGTGTGACCAAGCCTTTTCTGTGGCACTTTATGTTTATATAAAACAATCAGTATTTCTCTTATGTCCTTTGACAGACACAGAGTCTTCTTTATCCATAACCAAGCAGGGATTTATAGCCCCACCTACAGGAGTAGAACAATAGGTAGAAAAAAAAAAAACTGCACCTCCTATGGGCAGTCCTCTCTGGGCATAAAACCTCTCTCTGCTGTAGGCCTCCAGTTATTCTGTTTAGTGTTTTTAGGAGTATGGATGTGAGAATTTACTGGGACTTGTGTCCCCATGAGTTTTCTTTTTTCCTTCTTTTTTTTTTAATTTTTCCTGTAATTTTGTTTTTCCTGCGGAGATCTTTTACCAACAGTCGGGCTGGGAGATGGACTGAATAATGTAGATCCAGTGGTCACCCCAGTCTGACCAGCGAGTGCGCGCAGCCATGACTATGCCCCATCCTGGACTGGGGCGGCCATCGAGTTAAACGTAACGTGGGGGGGGGCATATGACTGGGCGCCTATAGTCCATGTCACAGTGTTACCCTGGCTGAAAGCCCCTCCACTTCAGTGGAGAGGAGAATCTGTCATGGGAATCTTACCCGCACGCTCTGCTGGATTGGTAAGTAGAACGCCCCCTCCCTTCCATACCTTGATGCGTGTTGGGGTGAGGGTAATCCCTGGAATGGTGTTGTGTTGGTTGCAGGGCAGTGGGTGCTCTATGCTGGGGTGTTCTCAAGGGTCGTGGTGCCTCCTGCTGTCAGGTTGCCCTACCTGTTACCCTAGTGTGTATGTTGCGGGCAAGCTCTCTCTTGGTTGTGGGCCGGGGGGACATTTGATCTCAGTGAGATCTAGAAGCGATGTAGTCCTGGAAGATGTTTCTAATGCTGACTGCTGTGGAAAGCTTCCGGATCCCCCTTCCTGGCTTGGGTAACAGTGTCTCACTGACCCACGGGAGTCCGCTTCACACAGTCAGGCCCTCTATAAATTTAGCCTGGCGATTTGCGGCCTCTATTGGTGCCATTTTGCGTGTGGGCAACTAGCCCTTAGTCACTTCTGCCCATGCACTGTGACGGAAGTGGAGGGGCAAGGAGCCAGCTCCTTATGCCGGGAGTGGCACTGTGGGGGGCAGGGCTCAGTGAGCAGCAGCCAAACCTGAGCAAATGCCAGTGAGGTATATCAAAAAGCCCACTGCTCATGCTTGTGTAGCTTGCCACGGTTTGGTGGGGGTAATTCCCCCTTCCTTACCTTCCAACCATGGCCATCTGGCTGTTCGCGTTGGGTGGGTGCTGGGGCTGTAAAAGAGAGACTCTCTCAGATCACAGCTGTGTAACTGCAGTGGTGCCCAGTAGTGGTGCGCCGAAATGAAAATTCTGGTGCTGAAACCAATATTGAAAATTCAGAATGGCATGTGACCGAAACCGAAATGTCTGCGTATGTGGGGGTGGGGAGGCTTCAATTTTTTATTTTTTTTTGTATTTTCTACTTTCATGTATATTTTTTATTTATTTTAACTTATGATTTTATTGCTATCACAAAGGGGACCAATAGTCCCCTATGTCATAGCATATGAGTGACAGTTCCTCTTTGTAGGGGGCAGTTTGTGCAAGAAGGGGGCAGGAGAGGAGCAGTGTAAACAGTGAGATGCGCTCACTGGCTTTAGCCAATACAGGTGACGATACAGGAAACTGTGTGTACTTCAGATGTGAGGGGGGGCTGCAGAGAAATGCAGGAGAGTGTATACAGTGACTGGCTGTCACTATACAGGTGAAACTTGAAAAATTACAATATTGTGCAAAAGTTCATTTATTTTAGTAATGCAATTTAAAAGGTGAAACTAATATATGAGATAGACTCATTACATGCAAAGCAAGATAGTTCAAGCCATTTGTCATAATTGTGATGATTATGGCTTACAGCTCATGAAAACCCCAAATCCACAATCTCAGAAATTTAGAATATTACATGCAATCAATAAAACAAGGATTGTATATAGAACAATATCGGACCTCTGAAAAGTATAAGCATGCATATGTACTCAGTACTTGGTTTGGGCCCCTTTTGCAGCAATTACTGCCTCAATGTGGCATGGCATGGAAGCTATCAGCCTGTGGCACTGCTGAGGTGTTCTGGAAGACCAGGATGCCTTCAGCTCTTCTGCATTGTTTGGTCTCTTGTCTCTCATCTTTCTCTTGGCAATTCCCTATAGATTCTCTATGGTGTTCAGGTCAGGCGAGTTTGCTGGCCAATCAAGCACAGTAATCCCACAGTCATTGAACCAGGTTTTGGTGCTTTTGGCGGTGTGGGCAGGTGCCAAGTCCTGCTAGAAAATGAAGTCATCATCCCCATAAAGCTCATCTGTGGAAGGAAGCGTGAAGTGCTCCAAAATCTCCTGTAGACGGCTGCGTTGACCCTGAACTTAATGACGCACAGTGGATGAACACCAGCAGATGACATGGCTCCCCAAATCAACACAGACTGTGGAAACTTCACACTGGACTTCAAGCATCTTGCAGTGTGTGCCTCTCCATTCTTCCTCCATACTCTGGGTCCTTTGTTTCCAAATGAGATGCAAAAGTTGCTCTCATCAGAAAAGAGGACTTTGGACCACTGAGCAACAAACCACGTCTGTTTTTCTTTAGCCCAGGTAAGACGCTTCTGACGTTGTTGGTTGTTCAGGAGCGACTTGACAAGAGGAATACAACATTTGAAGCCCATGTCCAGGATCCGTCTGTGTGTGGTGGCTCTTGATGCACTGACTCCAGCCTCAGTCCACTCCTTGTGAAAGTCCCCAACACTTTTGAATGGCCTTTTCCTGACAATCCTCTCCAGGCTGTGGTCATTCCTGCTGCTTGTGCACCTTTTTCTTCCACACTTTTCCCTTCCACATAACTTTCTATTAATGTGCTTTGATACAGCACTTTGGGAACATCCAACTTCTTTTGCAATTACCTTTTGAGGCTTTCTCTCCTTATGGAGGGTGTCAATGATGGTTTTCTGTACAACTGTCAGGTCAGCAGTCTTTCCTATGATTGTGATTCCTACTGAACCAGACTGAGATACCATTTAAAGGCTCAGGGACCCTTTGCATGTGTTTTGGCTTAATTAGCTGATTAGAGTGGGACACTTTAAGCCTAGAATATTGCACCTTTTCAGAATTTCTAATTTTCTGAGATTGTGGATTTGGGGTTTTCATGAGCTGTAAGCCATAATCATCACAATTATGACAAATCACAGCTTGAACTATCTTGCTTTGCATGTATT